GTTCACGTTCACCTTATAAATTAAAAAAATTGTTGTTTTGATGTGTGTTGTATGCCACTAATTTAACTATTGTTCTGTTTTTTTTTTTGCTATACAATTATAAACGGCGAATCTTTTTATGGATTTATTTTAGTTTTTTTTTTTTCATTTGCAATTTTTAAACACATAAACGCAATAAATGTGAGCACTGTTTTTCAAAGCACCGCCGAATGTGAACTGATTTCAAAAAAATCACAATGATATGATTTAAGTTTCATTTGCTGCTCATTATCTAAACTTTGACCGTGATCGTGCCCCGTCAAGGGAAAGAATAACCTTCTTCAACACTTGCACCTTCATTCCATCAAAGAAGTACACCTTATAGAAACCACACTCACCGAACTAGACACAAAAAGGTGAAATTATTTGGAACAAGAAAATCGCAACAATCAAAACGAAAAATCAAAACTGTAACAAAGTTTGGAGAGAGAGAAAAATACACTTTAGATCGTCCGACCAAATTTATGCTTGTCTTGAACGCTCCGGCGTAAAAACCACTAAATCTTGTATTGTAGCGGATGGTAATGCTCATAGAAGCTGTCCAATGTATACGTACGGTGTGTGAAGGCAAAACTTGATGAAAAAAAAAGAGTTACATCGAAAGAAAACAACAATACACGAAAACAAATTACAAAAAAAGAAGAAGCAGCACAACAAAGTCAACAACAAAACGTATACACACACAGTGACAGACAAAGCGATTCACGACGATGTGAGAAAGAAATAGAGAAACGATGTGAAAAAAAAATGAACCGAAAGTCTATCGACAACACATCTAAAAGAAAATAATGATGTGAAGACTAAACATTTTATAGTAGGTGCAGCTCACGTACAAATGGTGCGCGTTCGCAGTCCATCGTTCGCTTGGCTCAGTTTAATAATAAATAATAAATAAACACTTGACGACAATGATGTTGAAATGAAGAGTTAGTTGAGTTTACATTTACTCAACTCTTTTCGTTGCATGTGTTGTTGTCTTTTCAACGTGCGCTCGATCTGCGTTCATGTCAGTGCTTATGTTTACTAAATAAAATACATAAACATTTTTTTGCATGACATTTTCATGGCTATTTCTCTTTCACTTGGCTTTTTTTTTAAACTGAACTGGAATTTCATTTCAGTTTGAACAATTAATAGAATTTTGAAAACAAAAAAAAATGAATGTTTTCTATTTATCTTTACACATTGAAAAAAATAACAATGAAAATTCTTTCTGAATGTATAACCACGATTTTGCCGACATCATACAAAATATGTGTAATGATGCGATTGTTATTGTTCTGTCAAACTTTTTATTTATCCCATGAGCCGTCTCGAAATGTTGCCAAAATATTGAACTTCAAAACATCTAACGAAATGAAACTAATTTGCTCACATTGCAGCTTACACTTTTATCTACAAAAAGCATCAAGCGAAGAAAAAAATTATGATCCTATCATTTACTTTCTTGACGAATTTCAAGATTTTTTTTCGATAATTAAGTGTGATTAAAAACTGTGATAAAAAAATATCGATAAAAAGCACTTCTAACGTGGTTAGATATTTTTTGTAAGTTTTCATTTCAGTTGGTCTGTTTTATTTTTCATTGTGTTTTCCATTTCCCCCGAAATATCTTATCTTATTTTCTCTAAATTATGAATATTTCGATGCATTTCGGAAAAATGAGAGTATCCAGATAGATTTCAAGTATCCTAAAAAAAATACTAACATTTTATAAGATCATATCGTGTATCTCGACTTAATGAATAACATTGCAATAATACCATGTTTGAACAAAAAAAGGTGCTCTCATTTATATGTGGTCATATTATCTTTCTTGCTAAGATTTGTTCCCACTTTCAGCGTGCATAGACAGTGAAAGTGATGCTCGGTCTAGTCTTACATCGCGATAAATGTGCAAGAAATTTCAAAATATGTGCAATAAAATAACAGATTTTGTTTTTGATGTCTGCAATAACTGCACAAAAAGCATTGCAATTATTTTTTATCTATTCACTTTGGCATATAAATTATATAAATGTGATGCCATTTCAATTCTTAAGCAATCGCACAACGCATGTAGCAAAGTGATAGAGTTTATGGTATCGAATGATTTTTCATTTCATATCGAATTGGAAAATAAAACGTTCAAATCTAACATACATAGAGATATATTCCATGTGCATGTTCGTGATTTTTTTGTGTATCGGATGAATTACATACATGTTGATTTCTCAAAGTGGTATGCAATGCATTTAGAGTGTATGTTACTCTGTCTTGGTATAATTACTAGTGATTTTCTAGAGAAGTTGTTGTTTTCAACATGAAAGCCATTAAATTGCATATAATGTAAATGTTAAATAGAAGAGATAGACATTTTATATTGAAATGAGGGAAAGATAGACGGAGCCAATGGGGAGACAAAGAGATCCGTCATATTCAGATGTCAAATACAAAATTCAAAACAATTTTTACTTGCACCAGTCAAAACAACTTTTTATATTCATTTAAAGTCTCGTTTCGACTGAAAAATTACTATTTTTTTTCGACCGGTGTTTTTATTTTGTTGTAGTTTTTGTATAGATTTGCCTATCGAACTTATTGTATAATAGATCATCGAACAAAAAAATCTTGTTCTTACTTTTTAGTAGAAAAAATTTTGTTTTTATTAAACACGGGCCAGTTCACAATTGACAAACATTGTGTTTTTTTTTGCTAACTAAACATATTAAATGGGATACACTTCGTTTGTATAATTACGTATGTTTAGGAGCCACTGACCAAATTTTGTTACTTCAGTACAATTTTTTCCAGCTCTGAACTGAAAACTGTCACAAAATTTCCCCGAGAGAAACTATCGTAAGCTCAAAATTGAATTTTCCATGTCAAACATGGATAACCAACATCGTTTATGGTTTCTATTCTCAAAAGATTATCTAACCAAAAATGTCAGAAAAAAAGAAGCTTTTCGACATTAAAATCTGCCAAATAGATATTTATCTAAGGAATCAAATTGAATCTAATATGATGACCTTATTGGCATCGTTTTGCCTTCCAGAGAAATTCCATTGATATCAATAACAAATGTCCACAGGTGCGCGAGTGTCATTGGCTTTGGCAAACTTTTTAATTGGGATTTCCCTCTGAATTTCATGCAAGAATTGCTACAGCAGTAATGATCATATTCAAAAAACAATGTTCATTTCTGATTAACCCTCTTAGGTACGGCTGATAATAAATTAGATGGAACAGAATATATATCAAATAAATCGTTGATCACTTTTATTCATATTTCTGTGTATTGAGCTCTAGGGGGGAGACACCAAGAATAAATTCCGAATCCACTATATAAATTACTAATCCAGCTATTCCACTAATCCAAAAACACAAATGTGAAATCGAGACTATTTTTCCTATTCCATGCACTGTTTCCGTCAAAAATGTTAATTCTGCTATTCCGCACTATTCCACTAATCCATCAATAAACGTCAAAAGAAATGTCAAATGGATTTGAAGTGAAACAATTTTTGCTATTCCATCCACTGTTTCGCTATTCCACGCGAATCCATTCACAGGCGTTGCTATTTCATTGCAATTTCTCGAATCTTTACACTAAAAGTCTAATCCTATTCCACGTGTCTGCCCCCTAGATTGAGCTTGATACCAAGGAAAAAGTGAAAATGAAATTCTATCGTATGTCATCACAATCAAAGCAGTTTTTATCGAATAAAAGTTGGTCATTTATGGTTTTTATGTAATTTGGTATTTGTATTCGATTGAACTGTACGCAGGAGGGTTAATGAAGTATGCATGTGCTTATTTTGCCTCGAGTGTGCCGTTATAATACAAAGTAAAGAGCACTGTGCCAAATGGCAGCAAACGGATATGTCATTGTGTTCGAATTGTTTTCATGCAGGCCGTTTATTTCATCGCCGTATATCTCTATCTTGCAAAATGGAAATTTTGCGAATGGTTTAGTGAACAAATTTAAAGTGAATACGTACAAGGTTATATTACAGTAACGATATTCGTTTTGCTTGGTAATATCCATAACAATAATAATAATTTAACCGAAAGTCTTGTGTACTCATTGGACGACGCACATATTCGTATATGAATGAAACGGCATTTTGGATAGCAGAAAGAAAAAAAAAAAGTATGGAAAAATAAAATCACTTGGTGCCTTGGCAAATTATACACATAATAAGAATGAAACGGCAGCTCACTGTTTTACACTTAACATACGAACAGCCAAATTGAAGCTTCTGAAGCTTGTATTCTTTTGCACTTGTTGCTTATTTCATTATGTTTGTTGTAATTTAATGCAAAATTCATTTGCGGTCAAATCATTTTTTTTTATTGAGCATGAACAAGAATGTTGTAACCAATTTGGATTTATATTGGTCGAATGCGTTGCGGTACGCATCGATTTGATTCGAGCTATATTTCTAAGGTTAAGCCATGTAATATTATCGATCGAAAATTGAAAATGTGATTTAAAGACTAGGCTTGATGTTAACTAGCATTTAAACATATCGAATTCTTTCCATGAAATTGAGTGAAAAAAGGCATACATTTTGACGGAACAATTAATATTCAACTACATTTGCTTCTCAATTCAGATGCGATTGGTAAATATTTCTCCATCTCTCATGCAGATATTTTGCCAAATATGTTTATTCAGTTTGTACGATTCATAGACAAACTAAACTCGGGTATTTTTTCACTACCAGCCAATGATCAATAGACAATTTCACAAAATGAACAAAAAGTTATGAGTGAAAATTATGTAATGGCCAACATTTTGCATTACACAACGCATTACTAATGCTGCCGACAGTAGTTTTATATATTATTCCTAAAATACGCTTTTTTTTAAACAAACCGTATAACATTTCAAACTAAACCAGCCAACTAACTGATCGTGATCACTGACCAAACACTCATGCAATCAAAGTGTAATTTCCAAGTGCTATACGTACATTGCTTTACGTTGTTACGTGTCCTGATTCGTTCCAGCATCACTATTTTTTTTTTTTTGCTTTTTTTCTCTTTCGAATCTTTTAATTAGCCAACCAGACGCAATCACATCGCATGACCGTTGACTGATAAGTCTTTAAATGGATCAATAACTAAAGTCATTGGAATTTTTTTTTATTTGCTCGGTATTCTATGAACTACGCGTTTTTTCGCAGTTTCCATTTTTATTAGCATCATTTGTCCCATTTTTTTGTATAAAATCATTGAAATTTGTCTGCTTTGAACAGAAAATATCTTAAAAATAATAATCAAACAAAGCACATAAACAAAAAAGAAATAGCTGGGATCTACCTTGATTTTTTCATAATTGTTGCGTGATCGTTCATTTGTACAGCAATTTAATGAGTTATTCTTTCTTCGTTCGTGCCTTTGTAAATTCCCTTTTTTTGAAGTTTCATTAAATGTACATTGTTTTCATCAATTGCTGATATTTTTTGAAATTGTATAATCATATCGACTACCGAAACTGCATTCGAAGTGGTCTTTTACAGCTCGAGCACAAAATTTTATCATATAGTCCATATTGATGTTGTGAACTTCGTTCATCGGCAAAGTTTTTTACACTCATTCCCGTTTTCGTAATAAATGAACTGGTTGATTTGGCAACAGAGAAAAAAAAATCAACATAAATTCACTTTTCCACTTTTCGAGTTTCGCTTCTCACAATGAATCTTTTATCCTCAGTCTGTTTTAAACAATTTTGAGTGAGTTTGTTTTTTTTTTCACATTTGTATTTTTTACAGCCACTTTTCAAATATTAAACATCACTAATAAGCGGAATTTGGTAGAAGTTTTTTTTTATCCGCGTTATATCTTAAACAATTTGTTATACTCCATGTTTTATCACACAATTTTTTTCAATTTCCATTGTCTTGAATATCATTATGAACATGATTGGTCAAATTTTTTTTTTACAAATTTTATAAATATTAAAACTCAAATCAAACTGTACTTTAGATGAAAAACATAAGAAAAAAGAAACAAAATCACTATCGACACAAGAAAATGGTTTGTACGAACACGTTTTGATAGAGAGGCCACACCGATACACTCGGAATCTGCACAGAAAACACACTTCTTCTTCGTCTCGACGAGATACAAACAAAACTGAATTGAAAAAATGTAATATTTTTACCCTTGGCTGTGGCTTTGTGTATACGTAAAAGACGCATTCGAGAGAATCCAACAACAGCAACAAAAAATAACAACAACAACAGCAGCAGCGGCAGCAGCAGCCACAACAAAATGAGCAAACGCAAAAACAGCAGCAGAAACAACAACAAAAATTCAACAATTACATCCAAAGCCACTAAGATACACATAAAATCTGAACATAAACTGTGCGCGCGATACTGTAGGATTTCTTATTCACTCTCACGAATCATAACGAAGCTCTCATTTTCGGTTTTGACTGCATTGCTTTGCTATATTATCAACCGTCATTTTTTAATCGTTTATGTTCTTTGTGTCGCTGTTTTTTTGCGCAATATTTGCCTTCAACATGTGGTTTTCATTTTAATGGCCATATTTGTTGTTACTATTTATGTGTGTGTTTTAAAAAAAAAAAAAACGCCAATTGTCGACGGTAACTTTTTCTCTCTCAATCTCTTGATTTTAAAGCTCTGTACAAAGTTCACTTGTTACACACTCATTGTAATTAGAAACTCAAAACAATCGTATGCTTGTAACCGATCTGCACAAAAAATGTGAACAAAATAAAAAATTGAAGTTTATCAATAGTCAATTGATCAGCTTCAGCGAGCATCATATACTAATCCATTCGAATAAATGAATGTACGGCTCAAGCTCCAGCGTAACGTAACGCAAAAATGGCTTTTCATAAAACACGGTGTGCATGTGTTAGAGATTGCGAGAGGAGTAGAGAGCCAGAGAGCATGAAATGCGTCCGCAAACATTCATACTGCTCAGAGAACAGCTGTTTGGTGTTCTTCTACAATGAAACCAACATAGTTGTCAGAGCGAAATAACTTTCAATACTTAAAAACGGACTCAACAATAACAAACCGAAAACTGGCCGCTCTTTTATCATTCGCCATTTTCATCATTTACTTTATATTGTTATTGGTACTTCAATTATTCATGTTAACATGCGATCGGAGAAAATATTTTTTTTTTCGCTTAATTTTCTCAACGAACATAAATCAACCGAAAATAAATGTGATTTTATGTTTATTTCAGTGTAGTTGACAAAATTAAGTCTGAAATTGGTTGCGAAATTGTGTGTTTCAGTTTCGAAGAGTGTTTTAAAGCGCCATTTTAATCTGTGGCTTTGTATTATAGCAACTTTTGATTGCTCAGTTCTTAAAATTGCGGTTTCTCTTAAAATTACTTGATTTTTTTATTTTAAATATTGTGACTAAAACCAATAGTTGGAAATTTCCATGCCAATTCTAGGTCAAATGGCTGTGATGAAGGCATTGCAACTGTAGCAAAATGGCCCAAATCACTTCTAAAAAGTTGTTGTTTGTTGAAGCTTACGCCTTTTTCATCGGCACGAATGCATATCAGCAGGCGTTTTAAACAACATTTCAAGCTTGTCAATCTTTTCAATGGAAATGATGAATAATGATTTGCACAGAGGACTGTTATAAGTTGTCAGATCAATTCAATTCAATTTAGTTCATGTTAATACATTTGATTTGATCGAATCAAATAATATAATTGTATGAATCATAAAACGTTAGTTGACGAGAATTGCATGCAAATGCGATTCAAATATTTCAACATGCGTTTGTCAGTTTGTTACAATAGAGACAGGTTTTATTAGAAAGATTGCGTGACCCGAGATTTTTGTCGACGTGGTGCAAATATCTGCGATCTACAGCGATGAAAAGCGAAAAATTTGCAGTTTGATATTCTTGATGCAAACCAATGATATGATTGAAAAGTTTTCGTTTAATGAACGAAAGTGTATTGATGAAAAAACGAGTCTATACTAAGAATGGGGATTAGTTAATAATTTACTTTTTTAATATACATTCTCTCTCTCTCTCTCTCTTTTATAAAAGATTTAAGCGCCCTTGTTATCGAATTCGAAATAACTTCCATCATTTATTATTTGAAGATATATATTTTTTTTGATTTCATTTGGTTGAGAATATTGATTTACTTGTGTCCCAAACCAATCATTCGCCATTCAAATGGATAATAATTTTTTTTTATCGGAGTATAGAACAGTCATTTGCATAATTTTACTTTGGTTTATATTTTATATTATTATTTTTTTTGTTCGTTTCATTCCCATAAATGAAATGTACGGTTTGAACACGGAATGAATGGGCAAAATCAATAACGACTGAAAATGAATCGCTTACGATGTATACCAACTTCAGTCAATCATGCAAAATAAAAATGAAATATTATTTATCAAAATTGCATAAATGATATATATCGTCATTTTCAAAGAGTTGAAGAATCGTATTCGTTTCTATTCTATTTGCATTTTGTTTTTTTTTTTTGTGTTTTCGTTCATCAAAGCCAGAAAAAAAAGAGTATGAATTCGAAAAGCGAACAACGCTGCACTGGCAGGTGATTCCAAGGCAAGCGTACAACACAACGACTAACGGTAAAGCCACACTGAATTATTGGGGGTGAAAAGGTTTTATCAAACGGTTTTCAATCAGTTTTTTGTGCGTCCCCGTTTGTGGTTGTAAATAAGAAAGTTTACAGTGTGTCTTTTTGTTTGTTTCGATAAGCACACTAATTTTAAACTGCCAATCCAATGGGAAACGTTTCAGCACATTTTAAATCGCTTCGAATATTTTTCGTTTTGGAGCGAGAACCAGGTAAATTAGTTATTGTTATCAATCGTAATAAATGTGGTTTTTTGTTCTTCTTCAGTCGAACATAATCGAAATGCACATGAAACATTGTACTTAAAATTTAATCGCATAGATGAAAGAGTGTAGTGAATTAGCAACAATTCAAACGTACAAACCTTTTGATGTTATTTATGCGGCGGACAACAAACAAATAAATCAGGTCCATATTGTACTCAATGGCCGATTAAGTATAATACAATATTTAAATATAAACGTATGTGACGAGATTTCTTCCTTTTCTTGGAATTCGATTTGATTAATTGTCGTTTCAAATTTATTTGGCATTATAACTTCACACAGGCAACGTACAGAAATGGACATGAGCACGTGATGAATCTTAAATCACAAATGAAAATTGAACCAGTTCCACATGATATTCTTCAATTAATTTGTATGTTTAATGAAAATCAAGAAAAATCCACGATGGATTTAACATCTGATTTGGATTTAATTGATCGCGAAAATATACCCAAAACCAGAGCTGAAGGTGCACATTCTCACGTGACTGTACAGCATACCAAATCGCATTTCGTTGAAATTGGCGAATTACGATGCGGCTCAGTTTTTGGAATTGGCGAACACATGGAAGACAGAGTCATTGCTGCAAAACACACCGAAGTTCAATGTCTGTTGATTCCACAATACTGGCTATTACAAAAAAAGCAAAATGCCGGAAACATTTGGCATCGGTGAACAACACATTGTTGAATTCTATTTCGATAGACAGTAAATTTGATAATTCGTTTTTTTTACAGAGCAAAACTATTCCTTGATTTTACATTACCTTCACGCCAAGAAGTATTTCAGTATTATTTGCAAGCGAAAAAATGGAAAAACTTTAAGAATAAACTGATTAAAAATAGCGAAAGAATCAAACCAATAACAAACACAACGAAGATTGAAGACGTACCAATTTTATGCCGTTTAAATGATTCACTGTAAAACAAAACAAAAAAAAAACAACTGTTCAGCAATAAAAACGATGATTTTTTTTCAATAACAGTTTTCTTTCGGTTTATTTCACTTCATTTTTATTAAATAATTCAATTTAAAAAGGGCGAATTCCAAATTGTACAGTGCATTTAATCGGTGAAGAGGGGCAGAAAAGACAGAATAATTTAATATCTTAAAGTATATAAATATATATATATAAGCGAGAAAAAAAACCGCAAACGACAGGCACTTAATTTTCTTTCGTTACGTCCAGCAATCGGCAACTAAAACAAAACCTCCAATAAAGTACAATAAAGAATTGCGATGGTTATTGTTTCTAAACATAAATATGTGTTTTCTTGTATTTTCTCAAAATATTTGTGTTTTTATTCATCTCTTGTCATTATTATTTGTTGAATTGACTATATTCGATTTTTATTATGATTTGAAGTGTTAAACTATTAGATACGTTTACATTGTTCAATTTTTCACACTGTACATATTATGCACATTATGCAAGTAGAAAAACCGCTAAAACACGTTTTTTCCGGTCACAAATTAATTCGGTGCACTTCTTATAAATCGACCCTGAATGGTGGGGTAAAAAGTAGTCGTTCCTGTCGGCAATTGAATACCATGATTTAATGATAAAACTTTTGATATAATGTTTAGGTCTTCGTTGGATCGTCCACCGACGCCTGATTGGTAAAGTAAATTTTGTAATTGATTGTCAACGTTGTAAATTGGATAGATTGGTGGAAAATTTGTATTTATCGAATTTAAACCAAAGTTTGCTGTGCCCGATTCCTGTCGAAAGACTCGATTACGGCTTCGTGTTTGATCGCTTATTGTAATCGGATCGATATTATTCAATGCTGGATGACCGGTTATGCCAGAAATGAATTGTTGTGCTGGTTTCAATGGTAATTGTGGATTTGGATTTAGCAATGGTGAATTATTTGAAAATACAGGTAGTGGTTGTGATGGGGTGAATGTGGGTGGTTTTGATCGAAATTCACCGGCTTCACGAACTGGCAACAATTGTTGTGTTGGAAATGAAAGACTAGGAATGACCTGTACTGAGCTCGATTGATCGGCAGGCGGTGGTGTCAAATGGTTAAGCGTTGGTAAATTCGTTAAGAAATGTGAATTTTGAAATTGTTGTTGTCTCAACAATTGTTGTTCCTGTTCGTAACGGTGTAAACGTGCTCGATTTTCCTCTTCAAATCGATAACGTTGTTGTAAAAGTAACTCTTGTTGTCGATTCAATGCTTGTTGCTCTTGATATGCTTGTCGTTGACGGAAAGTCTCTTCTGTTTGACGTTGTTGAGCCTGTAATTGTGCGATTTGTTCCTCAAGTTGCTTCCGTTTTTGATCCAATGCAAATGTTGTGAATGCAGCCTCCTTTGTTGATGGCAATTCCAATGACTTTGACAGACTGAACGATGGTGCATTATTCACCGATGGCAGTTCAAGTGTCAAATGTTGTGCCAAAGGTGTTGTATTGATCAATGGGGTTTTTGGTGTTGTATTCACTGATGTCGATGAACTTATTGTGAATTGTTGAATTGGTCGCGCAACAGCTGGTGCCGTACGAACTGGATGAATCAATGGAATCACATTTTTTGGTAAACCAAGTGCATCTTGTTGAACGGTAAAGGCGGCAACAAGTGGCGCTTGATAAATTTTCACATCATTTTTTGAAACTTTTTCAATATTTTCACCATCTTCGTTATGGGTTGGCGCTTCTGTAGTCGTTGTGGTTGTTGTTGTCGTTGTGGATGTTGATGTGGTAAGAGATGATGATTTTCTTGTTTCAGCTAAATTTGTGGTTGTGTCAGCTGTTGTGAGTGGTTTGTAAGTTGTTATTTCAAAGTCGTTTTGGTTTTCATCACTGTTATTGTTTGCCGTATCACTATCTCCATCCTCAATTTCATTGGTTTTAACACTACGGGCAATCTGAACGGTTTCAATGTGTACATCGCTGTCTTTGACCTATGGTTAAAAACATTCAACATTATAAGATGTTCAAACTCTTAATTAAATTTCGAGTACAAACAAAAAAAATTTCTTCTCCTTTTAAATTTATAAACATCGCGGTGCTTATCCATGGAAAATTATGAACATATACGGAGTGCATGTGTGTATGTATATTAAAAAAAAAATTACCGGGTCAGGTGCACCAAATTGAATAATGACTTGATCATCTTGTCTCGACGAATCGATTGGAGCCGCCGTCGTTTTCGCCTTCTTCAAAATTATCGTATGAATAATTTCATTCTCATTTTTTTGTGTAAAATTTTTCGCGCCATCCGTCAAATATGAGTTATACAAATTTAATGATTTCAAATCAGCTTTGGTGCCTGTCAAAAAGTCAAAAGAAAAAAAAAGGCAGCAGCTATGTAATAAACGTTTCTGGATGATTGGCATAAATTAATAAATTATCTGATTGATCTCACTCTCTTCGAGCAGTTCGTCTTCAGTTGTTTCCTGAATACCATTCAATTCAGTAGTTTCTTCATTTTCTATGTTGGTTAGAGCTTTCAGCAAGGCCTATTATTATTCCATTTTTTTTTTATAAACACACAAACACAAAAGAAATATTATATTAATATATATTCATATCGGGTGAGATTTTTTCATTCGATCAATGAAATAACCCAATCAACTGATTGAGATATATTATGCTTCAACGTCAAATCAATATATTTATAATAAAATTGCTGGATTTGTTATTTTCCCTCCAAAAAACAAAATGTATGAATTGTGTAAAATATTGTAATATTATGAACATAAGGCGATAACAATATAAATTAAAAAGTGATTCTTCTGTTATTATTACTATTATTTAAATTGGAAAGTTAAACCAGGAAGATTCCATATATTACCTTTCGGAGTGCTGGATTCAATCGGCTTACAATTGATTGTGATGTTGATTCAATTTTGGATTTTGTTTCAGCTTCAGCGATATGAAACCATGTTACAATGAGTAGTGTCGCAACAAACGCCTTGCTTATCTGAAATGAACAAAAACAAAATAAAAACCATCCTATAGTAAACGAAAATTCGTCATTTAATGGAAGACAGTGCACAGTGTGGGCTGTGCACAGTGTATGGCCGCCGAATGACGAAACTCTTCAATTTTTATCACTTTAGCTATTTAAAGTGAGAAGAAGACTCCGTACACTTTCACTCATCAATATTAATACCTTATGCATATTGATATTTTATTTGACCATGTGAATGGTCATTGGGAAAAATGAGAAGCGAAACATTTCGGTGGGAATATGATGATGAATGAATTAAAAATTTGTTAAATGTAAGTTTTATGATCAATGACTTTTAACCACAATTATTGTTAATAAATCCAATGGGCTTGAACATTATTCCAATATCAAAATAAATCAAATCAACCATCATTTTTATAACGACTACAAAAAGAAACCACAATGAAACAAAAGCAATAGCACCAGCAATAATACGAGCCATCATTTTGATTTAAAGTCAAAGACCACGATATATTCCAATGGTGTTTTTTGGGAATTTTGTCGTTTTATTTTTCAATTAAATATGTTAATAGTGAAAACTCAAGGAAAACTGCCATTGGACAACCATTGCTGACAACGTATGTTATTGAACTTGATTTTGACCATTCGTTTTATCAATAGACTGAACTGCGCATTAAAAACCGGTACCCGGGGTAATGAATTTGAACATATGTGACCTATCTGATGTTTGTGATGTTTGCTTGGCTAGGTGCATTGATTCACACGTGTGATTTGCAATCATTTGATACAAAATGGCTTGAATAAAAAAGAAACAATTTATGTAAAACGCTCGCACGATTGTATTTTAATATGTTACCGTCGAACATAAAAACGGTTTAAAGACAAAACAAAAACTATGTGAAAACCAAATTTAAAAGTCTATTCAATTAAAATTCTGAAATTTTTCCTCAAAATTAAGCGTGAAGGTGATGACCTTTTCTTGTTTTAAAACGAACAAATGAAATGATTTAAAAAATATATTAACTTCAATGTTCGGCCAACAATTTTATAGTCATATAAATCATACTATTCAGTAACTTTGATGGTAATGACTAAGATAACGAATTTAAGTAGAAAAAAAAACATTTCCCAGGCCATTTAGCCACGAATTCAAGATCTTTAATATCGAGAAACATTGCTCTACATTTGGTCAAAAAAAAAAAATGTTTGTTTGTTTTTCTGTGTTGATTAGACACTGAACATTGTTTGCAAATGATTTCATCAGTTTGAATTCACTTGACAAGACCATCAACATGTGCTCCAATTTCGGTATACCTTTCCATGGGTGCACCGAACTAGCTCTTATTTTTTTTATTAAACTGTCAAATTCAGTTGCCGAATCAATTCAGTCAACCTAATTATATGCTCAAAATTAAACGATATAACTTAATGCTGGCAAGTCCATTCGTTTTCATGTTGAAAGCGTGCTATTTATTTCCAGAGTATAAAAACGTTTCGATACATTTCGAGAGAAACCGATGGGAAAAAACGCTCAAGACGCTTCGGTGTTTCGATGCTATGTGTTAATGCTGAAATGTGTATTTAAATTGAATAATGTATGCAATAAGCTACATAACAACATGCATCGTGAATATGCAATTTTCCCATTTGAGTATGTAATGTCGTTTTGTAATTGGATATGAAATTCTTGGACGCCCTTACTTTAGCCGGTTTTTCAATCATTCAAACTAAAGCATAACAAGTGGATTGAAAGTACGGTTTCTATTTCATTTAACGGCAAAGTACATTTTGAGTAGCATTACTTCGTATGAGAATATGTAAGTTAGATTTCTTGCAGCAAATTTTCAACAGCATGCATATTTTTTTGCAATGAACACTTTTTTGGTATTCTCTCTCTCTCGAATGTTCGATTTAGAAGCAGCCCATCACTTGTTTGAAAAGATATTCACTGAAAATTTTAAGACAACTTAGAAGATTACTCGAAGATAATTTGCAATTTAATTTATAGTTCAAGTCCTTTTCAGTGTGATTTATTGTGTATAAACAGTAATAATATCTCAACGACATGCTGTGCAGCGATTTGAATTTTTCAACGATTAAAATACGCCAAATGATCGTAAATAATATTTTGATCTTTTGAACTTTGTGATTTAAATAACGACGAATTTTAAACGAATAATACCATCACATGCATATTTTAGACTTTGAATTCACTCACCGATTGTTGGTTTTCTTTTTGATAAATTTTTTGTTTTTTTTTTTTCTCTCTCTCTTTTGACAAACACCAAAGAGGGTTCGGTATGTGCATGAGAATTGATGTTAGCATCGTTTTCATTTCTGTTTATGTCGCATCGAAACGATTGTCTGTAATTTTTTTGTCACCGGTTTGACGAGAATATTTTTTATGCGTCAATGCCATATACTCTTTTCGTGAGGTGAGTTATGAAAGTGATTATAATAAAAGTGACTTAAAAAAAAAGTAGTCAGCGTGCGGCATGTTTCGCATTTTTTTTACTTCTTTAGTTTTGAAGTTTTGTCGCTTCTTCACATCTTTTCTGGTCGTTTAGCATTGCTGTTATTGTCGTTTTTCGGATTTTATTTCATTCGGTGCATTGAAGGTGAAAGTTTTTTCGCGGCAAACGATGAACTATAGAATATACACACAGACCGATGTGAATAGTTAATCAAGAGTATTGAAATAAAATGAAAAGAGGAGTAATACCCGCAGACGACGAAACGATATCGTAACGACACAACATTTGGCTTTAGTCGAGAAGAGAAAAATAACAGCAGTAAATACATATACTTACACACAAATAGACTATGTCCCGAAGATGTCTCTCAGTGAAAAATTCACATTGCACGAGACACACACAAAAAAAAAACACACTACAAATGCTAATTCACACAAAACAAACGAGATTTTCTTTCTGGTGTTGCTGTTGTTGTCGTTGTTTTTTTAGATCATGCATTACACGTGAATTGCTTGTTGTGGCTTTTATTTCTTTATCCCAAAGAGGTGATGCGCCTGTGTAATGTGTCATTATCGAGATTCTGTTTATTTGCTTTGTTTTGCAGTCTCAAAAAACGTTTGTTTTTGCTTGTTTGATAACGAATTACACTAGGCGATTTCACGATTATAGAAAAAAAAACCAAAATCCCCAAACCAGACAAAACGAAATAATTTTTTTTTAAGACAATGAGTGAGAGAGAAGAGAGAAAGAGAGAATCACAATAGACTGTTGCACATTCAAAAGAGACAGTAACGATTTTCTTCTAGTATGCTATCGACATAAATTGTGGCTGGATTCGGACAAAGTATTTAATATGTGTGTTTGTTGTCGCGCAATAAAATGCAAAAAGAATGAATGCTCCCTACGTGTCGATCGGGTTGTCGGTCTTGGTTCTCTGATAATCGATGTTTGATGCATTGCATTTGCAATGCACATTCTCTTTGACTACAATTTCTATTTTCATTCGTTGAATTTGGTCGTATTGATCAGTTGCTGTTTGATTCACCTTTTCGATGATAATATCCAAAGATTCGAGTCAATTGCATTTTCCATAATAAGCACACGCAAAAGCAATGCATCGAAAGGTCAAATGGGTTAAATTATATATTTTTTTTCTATATTAAAGTCGGTACACCGATCATATACACCGGTGTATCTTTTATGCTCTTCAATGAAATGATGTTGCATGTGTCGCATTGTCGTTTTCTCTCTCTCTCTCTCTCTCTCTCTCTCTGTCTCTATGAATCGCATGCCATTTTGATGGCAACCACATTCTGTGTCATTGTTGCGACGTCTGCCAACATTCATTTCACTGGTATCAGTAGCCATTTGGATTGTTATTTCAAGTAATTGTTCAATACACACAGTACAAAAATCACTTCATAACAGATGAATAATATTCACATTTTGACTGTTCGCTGATGGTGTATGTTTGTATGAGTTTTCACTCTTTGCAATTGTATTTTTGTTGTATGCATTATTGTTTGTACAAAAGTGTACATTCTTGCATTGTACTTTTTTTTTGCTTGTGGCATTTTTCAAGACCAAACAAAAGACCACTAATTGCCGATTCAAAACTTTATAAATTGGTTTTGTTGTGCAAGTTTTAAATCGATCCATCTTATGACCCTTGGGTTATTGAGAGGCTCTTTAGCCTTTTCCTTTGTGTGTTTGTTCATAAGAGCACTTCATTGATAGCAATCGAACGATATTTGCAAATGCAACGATCACATTTCTGAACTCGGGTCCGATTCAAAGTGCGTGCCAACAATTGATCACAAGTTACGTATTTGATTTGAAGTATCATTGAGTTGTATTACAGCATTCAGTGTAAAATGTATGGCGAATCACCATTAGTGATTGTTTGGCATAGTCCGACAAATACGAATATATGAATTTTTTATGTTCGAAAAAAAAAGTGGAATGCAAAAAAAAATACTGAACATTTAAACTTTTCGTTTGTTTAAAGGAATTTCGAATTTGCTCAATTCTTGATTCTCTGGTTTCAGTGACGGTGGTCTGAACTTTTGTATTAATTTTTTTTGGCAATACTTGCTATATTCGGTTGGAAATGTCTCAAAACAAAACACAAAACTGGTTTTCTAAATTGTCTGTGGATTGGCGACACGTTTCCAAAATTGCACACGGACTCTATTCTTCTTTTTACGATACGAAATCAATCAAATAATGTTCAATTTGATCAATGTATCAAATGTAATCATGTGATTTTTCTATGAACCGTCGTGTTTCTTTTATGAGCTCGGCGCCCATTATTGTTAGGCCGAGTTCAATAAGTGACAGTAAATTGATATTATAATTTGCTGAAAGCCATAACACGGAAGAGGTTGGCATTAAAAGGTTAGCAATGCACCATGTTGGCTTTTTCAAGTTTATTCCCATGAATAACTTTATGTTTATCTAAATTGATTAGACAAAGCAAATGATTATTATGTTCCAGCTGAGTTTGGCAGTATCGCGCAGACACAAACAAACCAT